CCTCCCAAGTAGCTGGGACAACAGGTGTGTGCCATCATGCCAGGCTAATTATTGCATTTTCAGTAGAGATGGGGTTTCACCATGTTGGCCAGGCTATCCCCAGTATGTTTAAATGCATCTTCCTTTCTCCAGAAAAAGCTGTGTGAAATAGCATGTGCCCTAGGGGTGCCCCATATGGGTGAGCTCTGCCATCTTCACTCCTGGAGTCTGGGCACCGGTCCTGCTCACTTCTCATAAATGAGGTCAGCCTCCTTGATCTCTCTGGACCCTCCTGCTCTGACATTCTCATTCCACAACTGCAGCTGTCCTCAGCCTGATGTCCCTGTATTGACTCTTCCTGTATCTTGCCAGCCTCACATCCTGAACACCAGCCATGCTCCTCTGTCTGTGCTGGATGGCCTCCGTTGGCCCCTCTGGTTTCACTCCCAGTCCTTCCCCACACTGCTCTGTGCACAGAGAGGCTGACCCAAGTGGACTTCTCCAATGGTCTGTTGGCCCTAGGTCTCCTATGAGGTTCCACCAGGGGGAGGCACCAGCAGGAGATGGGAGGGTGGGAATAGAGTGAGGTTGCCTGAGTTGAGCTTGTGCCTCCACTGGGGCTCCTGGTCCTGTCTGGAAGTCTCTCAGGGTTCCAGAAACCAGGACTCCCCTTCATCCCCAGGCCTGGGGTAGTAATGGCTCCCTCCTATTGCTACCCTTGAGACTCATCATCCTTTATTGATTTCACTGAATCCCATCCACCCCTTTATTACATCCCTCAACAATGCAGGACGCCACTGGGCCCCGGGTTATGTCCTCCCACATCACTGAAACCTGAAACCCAGCTCAACTCAGCTACTCCACAGCTAAGGCGTCCTGCCCCGCTCTGTAGGAGGAGGAGGTTGAGCCAGTTGATCTTGAAAGCTTCTTCCAACCCACAACTCCTCCACTCCATATCATGCGCCCCAGGCAAATGGCTTGTGTTTGGCCTCAAATTCCATTTTAAAATTCCAAATGACCTGTCAAAATGCTTTAGTTGAAGGTAGCCTTCCAGCTGCGACTTTCCCTCCCCTGCACTTCCGTTTTCTTCCATTCATATCTCTCTTCTCTTTGTTTATTGTTAGGATTGTTCATGCACATGCAAGTCCCCTCCCAGGCTGCAAATCTAGTTCTAGTTTATACATTTGGTGATGCTCTGTTCTTTTGACTCATCTCCCTTTCTTCCCCAGCCCCTGGTACATTGCCTGGTACTTCTAAATGCTTCCTGTTGCAAATATTAACTGAGATGGGAAGAGTGACCCACAAGGTCCCAAACACTTCGGATGATGCTGTGTAGTGAATATTTACTAAGCACTGACCATGAACCAAGGCACTTTATACTTCCATCATCTCCTTTCACCCTCACCTATAAGGTAGGAGTTACCCCCAGATGTAGCTCTAAGGTAGGTGTTACCCCCAGATGTCAGATGGGGAAACTGAGGTGCAGAGAGGTTAAGTAACTTGCTCTAGGTCCCACCTCCAGAAAGGGCTGGAGCCAGGAGCAAGCACAGGTGTATTCCACACCAAGGCCACCTGTCTTCTCTCTACGCCACCCGGAGGCGAATGTAGCAACAAGAGGTGACTTGGACAATTAGGAACCCTCAACCAAATGGAGACAACGCTCAATGACAGAATGTAATTAATGGTCCGCCACGCAGTGCCCTTCTGAAGAGCGCTTCCAGACTTTCCTTCATGAATCACAAAGACATTAACACATTCCTGGTTTCTATGAAGCATAGCCAAAAGGCCTCAAAAGTAATTAGTTCACTTGAGCAGACTAAACACTTCCCTAGCAATCTGGTTTACGCTTGAATTGGCATAGACTCTTGGGCAGGGTGGAATGGTAAACTTTAGCCCAGCCCCTGTGGAAATATTTCCCACATGTTTTTTTGTTTTTGTTTTTGTTTTTTCTGAGACAGGGTCTCGCTCTGTCACCCAGGCTAGAGTGCAGTGATGCAATCTTGGCTCACTGCAATCTCCACCTCCTGGGTTCAAGTGATTCTCCTGCTTCAGCCTCCTAAGTAGCTGGAACTACAGGCGCGCACCACCATGCCGGCTAATTTTCATATTTTTAGTAGAGATGGGGTCTCACCATGTTGGCCAGGCTGGTCTCAAACTCCTGAGCTCAAGTGATCCGCTTGCCTTGGCCTCCCAAAGTGCTGGGATTACAGGTGTGAGCCACTGAGCCTGGCCGCCATATGTTTTCTTTCTTTCTTTTTCTTTGTTTTACAGATGAACTTCCCATGTTTCATGAATAAAATTCACCCCCTTCAGCTTCTTGGTTCCAGCAAGTCTGTGGACTGGGGACAGAGGGAGATGGCTCCAGCCAGTCCACCAACAACGAGGAAGGGAAATTCATTAATGAAGTCTGGGTTACTGAAGTGTAACTCCGACTTTATTAAATCTTTATTAAGTCCAGGAAGGCCTCCTCACCCTCAGGCTCTCGGCATGGTCATTTTGTGCACTGTACCCCTCCCTTCCTCTTTCCTTGGACCCTGGGGACAAACCTGCATCCTTCGGTTCTTCACAGCTGCCTCCAACCCCTCTCCAGGTGGAGACCGCAGGCAGAGTCTCTATCAGGAGCCCACCAACCTCCCTCCCAGGTGTCAGTGGAGATGGGCATGAGGTGGGGCTGCCAAGGCCAATAGGGCCATAGCTTTGGGCAAATCCCCCTCTCCCACCAGTCTGGTGCCTCTTCTGATCACCTGGAGCAAGCACAATCTCCAGCCAGCTCAGGCAGCCATGAACGCCCCCGGAAGCCAGCTTTGGCTCTGTTGCCCAGCAAGCACACCCCACCTCCCCACCATGGAAGAAAACAGCATTCCTCCCTTGGCCCCTCACCTCCTGGACTTTCACCTTGTCCCCTTGCTCAGCCAGACCCTCTTCTCCAAGAGAAAGGAGGGATAGCTTCTTTGGTTGTTCATACAGGAGCTAGAGGCTCCCAGGACCCCTCATCCTGACCCAGTTCCCCCCTTTCCTCTTTCCACCTGAAAACATTCTCCCACGAGAACTCAGAGAGGGAGGGAGGAGGCAGGGGGAGCAATGTGGCAACAGCCACCACGGCCTAGTCAGCCTCTGTAGGCGCAGCTCCCTTTCCGAATCCATTCGTTGTTCAAACAACCAAGTATTAAGCACCTGCTGTGTGCTGGACTGTTCTAGGTGCTCAGAATGTCATAGTGAATAAAGCAGATGAAAATCTCTGCCCTCCTGGAGCTGACACATGACAAACAAGACAAATAAGTAGCCTGGCATGGTGGCATGTGCCTGTAATCCCAGCACTTCAGAGCCAAAGGCAGGAGGACTGCTTGAGCCCAGAAGTTCCAGACCAGCCTAGACACATACTGAGACCTCATCTCTACAAAAAAAAAAAAAAAAAAATTTTTAAATTAGCCAGGCATGACGGCACATGCCTGCTGTCCTAACTACCCAAAGTGGAAGCAGGAGGACCGTTTGAGACCAGGAGTTCGAGGCTGCAGTGGGTCATGATCAAACCATTGCACTCCAGCCTGGGCGACAGAGCAAGACCTTGTCTCAGAAAAAAAAAAAAGATAAATAAGTAAACCAGAGTGTGGGAAATGAGAAAAAGTGATAGGGAGAAAATAAAAAGCAGTTAAAGGATGGCCGGGCGCGGTGGCTCAAGCCTGTAATCCCAGCACTTTGGGAGGCCGAGGCGGGTGGATCATGAGGTCAAGAGATCGAGACCATCCTGGTCAACATGGTGAAACCCCGTCTCTACTAAAAATACAAAAAATTAGCTGGGCATGGTGGCACGTGCCTGTAATCCCAGCTACTCAGGAGGCTGAGGCAGGAGAATTGCCTGAACCCAGGAAGCGGAGGTTGCGGTGAGCCGAGATCGCGCCATTGCACTCCAGCCTGGGTAACATGAGTGAAACTCCGTCTCAAAAAAAAAAAAAAAAAAAAAAAAAAGCAGTTAAAGGGAATAAGAAGTGCTAGAAGGTTGGAATGCCAGGCAGGGTGCCCAGAGGATGCCTCCACAGGGTGACATCTGAGTTAAAACCTTAGGGAAGCATGGAAGGGCCACGAAGCCATGGGGAAAAGGGCATTCCAGGAAGAAGAATGGGTGAAAAGGCCCTGAGGCAGGAGGGGCCGAGTGACTGGAGTGGGTGGGGAGGGGCCCAGCGGCAGAATAGGTCATCAGGGAAAGGAAGTCACAACATGTGGAGCCTGGGGGGTTCCACAAAGGGAAGGTGCTTCTGCATGATGGGAACCACAGGAGGGCTCTGAGCAGAAGAGACAGAATTTGACTTCGGTTTTCACAGGATTCCTCTGGTGGCAGGGTGGGGAATAGTGTGAGGGTATCTAGGAGACCCCAGTCACTTCACAAAAGTCCCTGCCATTCTTGGGAATGGCCCTTCAAGTCAGCCCTCTCCTCCTACTCCCTATTACAAGGGACAAAGGGCACATGGAGTGGGGGTGGGGAGGGATTGACATTAGAAATGAGATGAGGCTGGAAAAGGGCGTCATCCTGGGTTGCGGTGGGTTTTGGAAGCCAGGGCGGTTTTGGAGCTGGGACTTGATTCAATGCAGAAGGGAATCACCAAAGTTTTCTGAGCAGGGAAACCACCTAACTGAAGCCATGCTCACCTGAGTCAGAAACCCCGGGAGGGAAGGTGGCGGTGGAGGAGGCACGGGGCTACAAACAACTCACACCTCCAGCTCGCAGGCACCATCTCAATGGGCCTGGACTCCTTCTGCGTCTCCCTGGGACTGGGGCTCCCTGAGGATGGGGCTGTGTCTCCCCCCAGACTGGGGTTCCCCGAGGGCAAGAACCATCCCTTCCATCTTCGATCTCTTCATCCAACAACAGGGATAGGGCTCCATGCTTTGCACACCTTGCTAGCCTTCAGCGAGGCTTAGATGCTGCAGTTAGAGTCATGTCAGGGAAACTGCCCCAGAATTAGAGACAGGCAGACAGACAGGAACCGGTGGGTGTTTCTGGTGTGGGAAGGGGCTGCACCTACCTCCCGCCACTGCTTGTTCTCCATCCCTTGGGTATACATGACGCACACTGCAGGGAGAGGAGAAACAATGGCTTAATACCTCCAGCCAGGAGGAAGGAGGGGTCCTGGATGGAAAGGGTCCTGGATGGGCAGGCGCCTCAGCAGATCTGGCCTGGGTGGCACTGTTGGATCTGATAGGGGTAGAGGAGGTCTCCTGGGGTGGCTGAGATCTTGGTGATTAGGTCTAGGAATCTGGCCCCCCAAGCTCGAATGGCGTTCTAGATGCACCAATTCAGAGGGGTTGCCTTGGAGAAGGGAGACTAGGTGTGCCTGGAAGGGGCAACCTTTAGGAGGAGGGTCAGGGCCATTTGCTTCTAGGCCACAGGAAGGGTCAGAAGTGTGAGACAGGTAGACAGGTGGGCGTGACGGAGGACAGGTGGAGGTGTGGTGGGGTAGAGCATCAGAAAGCGGCTTTGCTTTTACAGCCCAAAGCAGTCTCTTGAAGCCTCTGATTATCATCAGCCCCATTTACAGATGGGAAAACTGAGGCTCAGAGGAAGCCAATGATCCATTCCAGGTTACACACTTGGGTGGCACTGCTCGAGGCTAGAACCTGGACTCCAAAATCAGTGTTCATCACCAGATCACAGCCAATTGGAGCTCTTAGGTATACTGGTTTATCTGCGACCCTGTGGCCCCAGACTCCCACCCCCTCCCAAACTGCTCTGTTGTGTCAAGGCTTCACAAGCATGTGGGCTGGGAAGGGTCAAACCCCCGCGGTTATCTTTCTCAGCCACTATGGGTGAAACATTAAGCAGGCTTGACACACTTGGAACGGTGCCTGGCACATGGTTAGCGCTCAGTAAGGGCTCAAGCATTGCTGCCATAATTAATCATAGTGTTGTCGCTGTTATTTTTACCGTTCTTATTGTCAGAGCAGGACTTACGTGGGTCAGACTTGGAAAACATGTCTTTGTCCAAGAGGTTCCTGAAAGAGGGAGAGAGAGGAGGGGTTAGTACGGCTGGCTGAGAGGAGGCGACCTCAGGTACTGAGACCAGGAGGCTGCCTCTGGCCTGGCCTCAGGCAAAACAGTTCCACAACGGTTTATTAGGCTTCATTAAAAGCCAGGCACTGGGCAGGCCCTGGAGGTTCCTCAGCCCACCTGCCTAAGGTGTGTAGAGCTCCCTACCCCCCACCCCCACCGTCACCACGAGCGCTCCAGGAAGGTGCTCTGGCGCCCTGTGTCACACAGCCACTCACCATCGGGCGATTTCCCAAACTGCCCAATATCTTAGCCCTTTCTAGAAGCTCTCCTTTGATCACTTCTCTGCGTCTCAAGAAAACAAAATAAAGCAATCAAAACATATCCATCTAGTCTCCCATTTTCTCAAGGCTCTACTTCCGGCCAGTTTATTCGATGGCCTCATCTGTGCTGATGGATTAATGAATGACACCTCCCAGGGGAAGCAGACTCATTTGGACAAGGCCCATCTTCGGTCAAGTGCAGGGCTAACACATGGTCCTGATAATCAGACTGGAAGGCACTGCAGCAAGATGATGGACCCAACATTTGGGGACAGAATGATCTTTCTTCTTTTTCTTTTTCTTTTTTTTGAGGCAGAGTCTCGCTCTGTTGCCAGGGCTGGAGTGCGGTGGTGCGATCTCGGCTCACTGCAACCTCCGCCTCCCGGGCTCAAGCGATTCTCCTGCCTCAGCCTCCCGAGTAGCTGGGATTACAGGCGCCTGCCACCACACCCAGCTAATTTTTTGTATTTTTAGTAGAGTTCGGTTTCACCATGTTGGCCAGGCTGGTCTCGAACTCCTGACCTTGTGATTCACCCGCCTTGGCCTCCCAAAGTGCTGGGATTACAGGCGTAAGTCCAGCCCAGAGTGCTCTTTCAACAGGTGCTAAGCTCCCCTTGCCCTGCCTCCATGCAATGAAGGCTCCCACTCGAACCCTAGAGATAGGTCAGGTGGTGTGCCGTTTTACAAATATGAGCTCCCGATTCTCATGCTGCCCTGCAAGGTTGGTCCTGGGCACAGACGTGGAAGTGGAGGGGAGAGGTGGGAAGGATGGGCAGGCTGCGTCCTGCGCATCTGTATTCCTCATTCCACAGTGATCTCCCGCCATCGGGAAGCCACACAGTCCAGGGGAAACTCAGTCCCTGGCTGGGAAGTGATTCAACCTCTCTGAGTCTCTGCTTCCTCATCAGTACAATGGTAGTACCAGTCTTGAAGGCTGCTGATGCCCTGCCTGTATCCCCTCAGCCCTCACAGTTCCTGTACACACCCATGGTTTCCTCTTGCATCTGTTTCTCTCCTGAGGGTGTTCTCAGGCAGGTCAGGCCGCTGCAAGTGCCAGAAAGTTTATGCTCCCAAGGGTGGCACTCAGCCCACAGGAAGGGGCTGGGGGGCTAACTGCTCAGCTTCTTCACTCACCCTGGGACAGCTCTGCTTTACAGTCTCTCAGAAGTCCCAGTGGGACTGAGTCCCAGAGGCCACCAAGAGACCTACCCATGACTGCATCCCCTGCTGACCAGGTCTTCCCTCCCCTGCTCCCCCGGCGAGCTGCCAGGCAAGCCCTTCCCGCCTGTGCACCGCCCCTGCCAACACTGCCCTCTAGACTTGGTTCTTTTCCCAACCATCTCAGCCTTGTCCCACATCCCGCCCAGAGGTCCCAAGGGATCTTGTCACCTTCCTTCTCCACGCCCACAAACCCCCACGAGTGCCTCTGCCCCTTGAACTGCTTTTCCAGAGAAAAGAAACAGTCAACACGGGTCTGTGTTGCTTCCTGAAAGTCAACTTCCAATGTCAGAGCTAGGCCAGGCCTATAATCCCAGCACGTTGGGAGGCCGAGGTGGGTGGATCACTTGAGGTCAGGAGTTCGAGACCAGCTTGGCCAACATGGTGAAACCCATCTCTATTAAAAATACGAAAATTATCCCAGCATGGTGGTGTGCACCTGTAATCCCAACTACTTGGGAACCTGAGGCAGGAGGATCACTTGAACCAGGGAGGCGGAGGTTGCAGTGAGCTGAGATCGCGCCACCGCACTCCAGCCAAGGCAACACAGCAGCAGCAGCAGCAACGACAAAACAAAACAAAACAAATGTCAGAGCTGATGAGGCCCTGAGGACGATCTGTTCTTCTTTCTCCTCCATGATGGGGAGACGAAAGACCAGGGAGAGGCGAAGGGCAGCCGTGGCCCACAGCAAGCAGTGGTAGAGACAGAAAGGTCTAGAAGGAGGCCTTACCCTGAGTCACTGTCATCAAAGCCCTCAGCAGTGACAGCCTGTCAGGCAACTTGACCCCATAATCAACCCTGCCACCCATGCCCTGCACCCTAAGGTGGGAGCCAAAGATCAGCCAACAGGCAGACGAGCAGCCTGAGGCCTACACATGCGTCCCGCGGTGCCTGGGGAAGCCAAGGCTCAGATGCATTCACAGCCAAATTCTACCGAAGTATCATGCAGAGCTGGTACCATTTTGACTGAAACAACTCCAAAAAATTGGGGATAAGAGATTTCTCCCCAACTTATTCTGCGAGGCCAGCATTATTCTGATACCAAAACCTGACAAAGACACATAGAACATCGCATTCATGAATCCCCGCAGCTCCAGTCCCTGCGTAGATTCCCAGAGATGCCCCCAAGAGAGGAATTTCCAAACAGCTTCAGGAAACCAGTCCCTGGAGAACTGTCACCCCTCCCGACTCCAGTCTCTACACCCAGGGGACACTCCCCAAAGGCAGCCACCCCTCGCTGGCCCTCCCTTGCCCCACAGGCAACCACCCCCCTCCTGGCCCCCACCAGCCCCTCCACCAGCCCAAACCCAGTCCCAGCCAGCTGTCACTTTGGAAACCATCTGATAAACCTCCCAGCCCTCCACAGAGAGCATCAGATGAAATGATGCACAAGGCAGCTCTGGAAAGTAGGCAGCAGGGGCTACGTAAGACACCACTTCTACATACGATCACTCACACCCAGCGGGGCTGACATCCCTGGGTGACTTTCTCATCCTGAAGTGTGCTAAGTTTGGGGGTAGGAGTGTCTATCTTGATTTAAACAAAGGACAAATGTCTTAACACCAAAGATGACTCTACAGTGGTGGAACCTGAAGCACAGCGAGGAGCTAAAAGTGATGAGGAGGACGGGACTTCTCTACTAAAGCAAGCACTTTAGGTTTATCTTTGAATTCAATCATGAAATTAAGCAATTCCATAAAATCCTCCAAAATTCAAGCTGGAGAGGACCTCAGAGTCACCTTTTCCAAATCCTTTACCAGTCAGGAATGTGAGACTCGGAGGAGCAACACCTGACCCCTCCAAGATCTGGGACTCCTCCAAGTGTGGCTCTAGAACTCGGGTCTGGTCATATCCAGGTTAGGGAGAAAGAGAGTGAGACCCTGGATTTCAGTCTAGATACGCTGTGTGTGTGTGTGTGTGTGTGTGTGTGTCTGTGTGTGCACGTGCATTACGGGTGGTGGGAGGGAGAGATCTTATCCTCTAAAACAAGTAGACAAGTTTTTCCTGACCCTGCCCACTTCCCAGCTGGGCTAGAGGCACACAGCTAGATAAAGAAATAGATTCTAACCACTTGACCCCTTGCCCAGTGACCTCAGGACTCTCACCGAGTCCTAAAACATGTGTCACCCTGGCAACTAGCAACCAAGGATAAAGCAAACCCTCTCTCCTCCACTCTGCTGAAATTATTCTTGCCATCCTTCCAGATCATTCTGTCCTTCCTCAGTTTTGCCTTTCCTGAACACTGATGGACAGCGACTTGCTCTTCTCTCCCCTGAGCTCCCTGTGGCCTGGAGTGTGCAAGCCTCTGACTTGGAGGACCCCGTTACATACTCTGTACATGCTCGGTTGCAAAATCATGGGTGTATCTCTCTCTCACACTGGCTGTACACGCCTCCACGGCAGGGTTCCCCCCTGCCACAGGCCAGCCTAGCACCTGAGTCAGAGTAGTGGCCTGGCAAGCTGGATGGATGAAAGAACGGCCTGATAGGGGAGCGCGGTCTGCATCTCCCCACCTGGATGGTGCACAGCCCCTTGTTCTTCCCCTCAGCTGTGGCGTGTAGCAGTCAAATGCATGGGCTGTGCAGTCAGACAAGCTGAGCTCACATCCTGACTCTGAGCGGGTGGCTTGCCCTCCTTGTGCCTCAGTTTCCCCCTCTGTAAAGTGGGGGTAAAAATAGTTCAGGGCTGCTGTGGAGATTCAATATGTGGAGCCCCTGGGACTAGTCGGCCTTGTCAGAGAGGCCAGCTGTCCTAGGCCCGGAACTGAGCGGAGCCACCACTCACTCGGTGGATGCCCAGAGCACTTGGTGACAAGCACAGCACAAGCCCTCCACCCTCACAGGCCCAAGGGAGAAGCCTACCCCCAACACAATCCCAGGGCTCCCTTCTGAATCCCTTCCCCAGCTCAGCCCTCGTCAGTCTCCCTTCCATTCCCCCTCTCAGCCTTGAGGACCCTCTGCCCCTCTCCTAGGTCCCTGCGCCCTACACCCCCTCTGATCCCTCACCTTGTCCACACTTGCCTCCATCCATCCCTCTCCCTAACAACCTGTCCAAACAGAAGCCTCAGGGCCTGGTAAGTCTCCTCTCTTGGCTTTGGAGGGGTGGCTTCACCCCATGAACAACGGGCTGCGCACTTCTGGGGCTCACTCCTGCCCCTGGGTGTAAAATGACAGTTCCTTGGGCTCTTCGCAGAGTCTGGTTGTGTAGGTCTGAAGCAGTGCTCCAGAAGCCATGTCTAAACAAGTGCCCCCCAGATGTCCCCCATTATGTCTCTGATGGCAGCCGTCCGAATACTGCATATTGAGACATCATATTTTAGGGCCTCAGTTTCCCCCACTGTAAAGTCACAGACAACAATACACACACGTGCAGCACCGGCAGGTTCTCCAAGGTAAAGCGCCTTCCCCACTGATCCTCACCCTGACCCACTGAGAACTTCCAGGCTCGGGGGCAGTGAGTCACT